TCCCTGCCACAGAGTCTGTCAGAAGCTGTAGGTATTAAATGTAAATTTTGGATTATATTAAATGTACAGCCTTTTCCCTACCTTCATGTGCAGTTTAGCATAACAGGAAGGATAGAATGAAGTACTGACAGGTAGGAGAAGGTTAGAGTTGGAAAAGAGCAGGTATTTTCTGTGTGTTTTAAGGAGAAAGATGAGATTTTACAAGGTAGGGATCCTGTTTGGATTTTTTATTTTTTTTAAACCCTTCCAAAAAAAAGAGAATACAAGCTGGCTTTGTTTGCCTGTTTTTCTCCTTGTAGACTGAAGTCTTTCCTGTTGATTGTGGGATCCACTGAAGTTATTCTCCCATGTCCTTGTTGCTCCTAGACTGGTGGACTTCAGGCAGCTCCTGGGGATGACTAAAATTCTAGTGACTGTAGATTGTGGCTCTTGGCTCATACATGTGAAATTTCACACAATACTGCAGAGCTGAACATGCTCAGTAGCTTTGGGAGAAGTTCTGATAGTATGCATTCTGTTTCAGAAATCTTTCTCAGAGTTGAAATGAATGAAGATATTTAAGCTTTTTAAGTGTGAGGGTCACTGAGAGATGTTTTGGTACAGGTTCTAGAATTGTATCTTGGAATCTCCTGCTGTAATTTTGGAGATTGTAAGTTCATCTTCTTTTGAGATACAGCTATTCATTTCCATTTTGTCTGAGAGAGAGAATACTGACTTCTATTTTGTGACATTCTTTAAAAAAATGGACCTATTCCTCCATACTGTGTTATCTCTGTTCACAAGTAAAAGTATATTTTAGACAAAGCAAAATGATTTGTTTTGTGTTAAATCTCCTGTGGTGTGTGGTGGTCCGTCTTCTATAAAGAAATTCTTGGGCTTTCTGTTTTTTGGTATGTGGGAAGGTGTTTTTGTGTTATGACTCACTGATATATCTAGGCTGATTAACAAAGATGGTTTGTGCAGAGATCCTAGGTGTCAAGCTGGGATCAGTGAAGTCTGAAATACATGGGTAAGTACTATTGAACTGGAAGACTTTTAATACTGGTTTTGGTTTTTTGTTTTTTTTTTTTTCCAGGAGTGTACTCCAGAGAACCTGGAACTGAAAAGGAAGATTTTTGGTCAGTTAGATCTTATTGTTGATGACAACGTTATCCTGAGCAGCTCGACCTCTTGTCTCTTACCCAGCAAACTGTTCACTGGCCTGAAGCATGTTAAGCAGTGTATTGTGTCACATCCTGTAAGTATGATGGCATTTTTTATTTTTGTAGCAGTAGTAGTACAGGTGTTTAACTAAACTGCACCCCAAGCTCTTCCCTGAAGACTGAGAGATATAGAAGGATATTTGGAGTGCTTTGGAGCCATCATTAATGTGCAGAGGCCTGACTTTTCAGAAAAGCTTTAGTTTGGTCATTCTGTGAGCAGCAGTATCTGCTACATTGAGATGATGTGTGCATGTTTCATACTGTTGGCTCAAGATACGTTCAGTGTAAGCTGTTGTGCTCATGTTGTTGCGTGTTACTCAAATTACTGGCTCTCAAAATGTAGGAATTCTGTATTTTGAAGACAAACCTATACATTTCCCTACTTTCTTCTTGTGGCATCATCAGTCTCTTCTAGTATCCTTTTTCAGCTGCTGTTGGTTAGCAATAAGGATCCAAACAGTGAACTGCATATGCGTGTCAGGTAATGTAAGTGAAAGATGGAAGGTTTTGACTCTGGCTTCTTCAGACTTTTGATGGAGAAGCAATATACCTGAAGAGGAAAAGCAGGTGGATGAAATGGAACAAATTTACTTGGAGTTGAATTTGCATGCTTTGTGGCCAGTTGGGATAGGGCAGTGATGCAGAAATGACATGACTAGAGGTGGCAGCAGAACCTCAGAATGCTGAAGGGCACCTGTGAGCCTCTGTTGAGGTCTACATGGGGCTGCCAGACAGCAGTTTATCACGTCTCTCCTCAGTATGGAAGAGCATTTTGTCTTGACCAATGGGACTCTTACTTCTTCTGTTTTACATTACTCAATAGCTAATGAATTTGGTAGCCTAATGTTAATCTCTGCTTGACAGATCAGTTAAGAAGGTTTGCAGTATCTAGAGAAGGGTGCTGCTGTCTGCAATTTGGTAACTACGTGTTGTCTCTCCAGGGCATCTCTCAGGGTGTAAAGTAAATGTCAGTTCCCTGGGCTTGCTTGAGAGGGGCCCTGTGAGCACAAAAATACAGCACCACTTTACTGTAATGTCTCTACAGCTACCTTTAGAATCATAGAATGGTTTGAGTTGTAAGGGACCTTTAAAGGTCATCTAGTCCAACCCCCCTTCAGTGAGCAGGGACATCTTCAACTGGATCAGGTTGCTCAGGGCGCCATCCAGCCTGAGTTTGAATGTTTCCAGGGTTGGGGCATCTACCACCTCTCTGGGCAACCTGTTCCAGTGTTTCACCACCCTCATAATAAAAAATTTGTTCCTTATATCTTGTCCAAATCAACCTCTTTTAGTTTCAAACCATAACCCCTTGTCCTATCACTACAGGCCCTGCTAAAAAGTGTGTCCCCATCTTTCTTATACGGCCCCCTTGAAGTATTGAAAGGCTGCAATAAGATCTCCCTGGAGCCTTCTCTTGCCCAGGCTGAACCATCCCAACTCTCTCAGCCTTTCTTCATAGGAGAGGTGCTCCAGCTCTCTGATCATTTTTGTGGCCCTCCTCTGGACTCACTCCAGTAGGTCTGTGTCCTTCTTATGTTGAGGGCCCCAGAACTGGACACAGTACTCCAGGTGGGGTCTCATGAGAGCAGAGTAGAGGGACAGAATCACCTTCCTTGACCTGCTGGCCACGCTTCTTTTGATGCAGCTCAGGATATAGTTGGCTTTCGGGGCTGCGAGTGTACATTGCTTGCTCAGGTCCAGCTTTCTGTCCACAAGTATCCTCAAGTTCTTCTCTGCAGGGCTGCCTGCTCTCAATGCCTTCATCCCCCAGCCTGTATTGGTACCGAGGATTGCCCCAACCCAGGTGCAGGACCTGGCACTTGGCCTTGTTGAACCTCATGAGGTTCATATAGGCCCACTTCATCTGTAGCCTAATGCTGTGGTGTCAAAAGTATTTGATCATTCCCTTTCTGCCATCCTTCCGCCACCACCATTGTGTCTTGGGGTGACTGGAAAGCTAAAGGAAAAAAAAGGATTGGTTTCTTTTTGTATAATTAGTTTTCACTTCCTTTAAAAAAAAATAAAAATTCAAACTTCAAAGTATGTGTCTGTACCTAGGTTTAGCCTTTGTCCAGTCTAAAATTCAGTAGTTCCAATAGTAGTTCTCATCTTGGAAATATGAGATTGTAATTTTCTGCAGTGCAAGAGCAGAGATAATGTTTCTTCTGGACTTCTCTATTAAATAACTATAGCTATGATTTTTACATTACTATTTTCCCAAGTTAGTCTGTACCAGTTGACTTGTTTCTGGTTTCTAGTCTGAGCTACAGTCTTTATAGGAGCCACTTCTGAAACCAGGTTTTTATCAGATCTGGAAAGAGAGCTAGTCCTGCATAAACATTTTCTAGATTGCTGTTGTAAGGATGTATGTCTTTTCCAAAGAAAACACACTGGGCTGCCTTAAAATGTCTGATTGTTCTGAAATGGCTTTGCAATCCAACTGAGACTATTTTCTTAGTAATCTCAGCTTCACTCAAAGAGGAGTGTACTGGAGAAGCTGTGAGCCAGTGTACTCTTCCAGAGGCCTTTCTGCATCTGTTACATCAATAAACATGCTTGTTTTGTAGTAGTTGCAGGCTTTTGGTGTTTTTTTTTTTTTAACCATGGCCTTACTAACATCTTGAACACAACAGCAGGATATGGGAAAAGGAGACTGCAGGAGGCAAGCAGCTCTGGAGGACACTGTGAAAACAAGTGTGGATTTGATATACCAGAAAAACTAAAAGCTAAAGTTGTAAAGTCTCTGGCACAGGTGAGCATGTTAAGGAGAAATTAAATTAAATGCCCAAAGGGCAGAAGGAGCTCATCCCTTTGCTTAACATAGCAATAGGTTCAGTAATTAGAAAAAAATAAATGAAATCCCATAGCACACCTGTATGGTACAAATGCATGCAATACTTGTGGGTACAGCTGTTCTCTGCAAGCAGTTTCAGGCATTGTATCAGTAGAGGTCTTCTGCAGAGCAGTTCATTTTTCATGTACTGTATATGCCTGCTAGATCACAAGCTAGAAACGAAGCTAGAGGAGACTGTGTGCCATTGAGTGAAGACCCTTGCTGTACAGGAAACCATGTAATCAAATCACCTTTAAAATGTAGTGAGCTCTATCTCTTAGATTTTTTTTTTTTTTTTAACTCTACTGCTCCTGTTGAAAGTTGTTTGTGTCTTCTAAATTTTGTTTCAATCTTATTCACAGTCTGTTAAAATAAATTTGATGTGTGTATCATCCTTTCTTAGCTTTCATTTTGTTAGGCTGCTGCTCCCTGAAGAAATGTTGTGCATTCCCCTTCTCATTTTTAGAAACCTTCCCCCACCCCCAATGTCATCTTACCACTTTTAGTTTTTAGCAACAACTATTGTCTCAATCCTAAAAAATTATCTTCCTAAGTCTCCTCAGTGTGCTCATGAACACACTCATATACTCTCTGAGTACTGTGCCAAGTTCATGTAATTGAATATCTCAATAAGATGACTGTCAACACTAATCTTGGAAGAAATTTATAACAGCCTCAGTCTCTCTCAACAATTAACTTGTCCTCTTCCCAATTGGAACCTGTGATATGCTTAAGGGTTAGAAAAGCCTTCAGAGAACTTCTTGGTCCTTGAAGGAGTTTGGGTCTTGCTAAATTGCCTGGCACCACACCTGCAATTGTGTCTTTCATGCCGTTCTCGGAGTTGGTGGTGACACTGCCAAAGAGACTGATGTCGGAAGGGTTATGTTGGAGCACAAGGCACTTCAAAGGGAATGAAGTGTGTTACATCAGTAGTTAAAGCAGATGTAACCTACATCAGGTTATGTGTTGGTCAGACCCTACAGTAAAGGGAACCATGTAAGTACTGAAAAGAAGAACGTGCAGAGAGGAAAGACTGCTTGTGTGTTGCTGTGACTAAATCCTGTACTTGCATTTATGTGAGCACAGTTAAGAGCAGTTGACTACAAGGGAGCAAGGTGAAAGAATTGGTACTTAATTACCATCCTTTAAATGTCAGTGTTAGTTCTGTTAGTAACTTCTGATATGTAAGCTCCTTCTACTGCCTTGAAACTAGACTGAGAGCTGAGTTTAACACCTTGAGTATGGCTGAAGGACTGCTGCTTTTGGAGAGAGCATGCAGGCAGTGTTATTCCCTGTAAAACTGTGACCTGAAGAACTTCTAGCTGCTTCTAGGATGTTCTTTAGAACTTTTTGTCTATTGTTTCAAAAATACATTACACAGATGTCTTGACTTGATGAGAAATTACATTTGGGAAGAGTCAGGGAGAGGTAAATTTTTTTTTTTTAAAGTAGATACAGTGTTTGGAAGGTAACCTGTTCTGCAACTTCATTGAACTATGTTTTATGTAATATCTGTTATGGTGTTTAGCACATATTTACAGGCTTGGGCTAGTAGCAGCTTATCTATTAAGTGTTGTGTCTTGCAGCAATAATTTTGTTATAAAGTTTCTGAATATCTTAAAAGAAATACCTTGCTTCATTTAGAAAGACAAATGGTGACCATATGTTCTACAACAACAAACAGCCTGAATATTGAGAAGTCATCGGTTACTCATCAGTATAAAGTCTTCTAGTACTGTTTCAGTGCTATCATCTTTAGTGTAGCTCCATGAACTTTGGGGTCAAACAGAGTTAGATTAATGCAAGATTAATTATTTTTTTTCAATTTGAATTAATGCACCAACTTTTATTGGATTAGTGAAGTCTTTCAGGGTCTGAAGATCAGGCTGGCTTTGTTCACTGGAAAATATCCATGCTATTAGCAAGCTATAAAGATGTTTTATATTAACTTGTTCTGTTAAGCTGTTGACAGTTGTCGTTCTTTTGTGTTTCTTCTTGAGGTAAATCCACCTTACTTTGTGCCCTTGGTTGAAATTGTTCCTCATCCAGAAACAGATCCTTCTACTACAGAAAGAACATATGCCCTGATGAAGAAGATTGGTCAATCTCCTGTCAAACTAAACAGAGAAATTGAGGGGTTTGTTCTGAATCGGCTCCAGTATGCAGTGATAAGTGAAGCCTGGAGACTTGTGGGTGTATGTATATATTTTTTTTTTCCAATTTCTACATACACATTGCTGGTTTTGTAGATGTGACAAGTGAGATTGTATATTTAAATTTCCTATAAATTTTTGTCATCTTTGTTAAACTGTCCCTTATGAACATGAAATATATACTAACATGTAAATTAAAAACAGTAAGAAGTTATGTCAGTTATAAATAGCAAAGACTGGAAAAACTCAGTGATATAACAACCATCCTTTATCTTGCTTTCTTTTCAGAATACTGTCATTTTCAGGACAATCAAAATAACAATCTTAAAAGCACAGAAATCAAAATACTGATTTTTCTTTTTTCTAGGTTATCTCATAATTTCCTGTTATTTTCTGAATGTTGCTGGCCTAGTGTACAGGGGCTATGAAAATAATATTTCAAATGGTTTTCTCTTTGGGCATTCAGGAATTGCAATCATAGGTTCAAAGGTTAGTTATTTGATACTTGTAGTTAAAGACAGATTGCTCCTTCTCCTCCCCATTCAGACTTCTAGCTGAGAATCATTTGTGCTCTTGCAGCTTTTCCCACAGTTACCTGTTCTGTGCTGCAAAGTTTGATCTTTCATCAGAAAGATCTGATGAAGAGCTGAATTATGAGTCTGTTGCTATTCTGTAGAGATTCAGATGAGCTTGAGCTCAAGGCTTACTGGTTTTTGTCATGGAGAGCGTTTTGATTTTTCAAGCTTTTTAAAACAACCATGCACACAAATATAGGTAAAGATCTTAAAACTAAGGTAATATTAGCATGTCATAAACAAAGCAACTCTTTTTCCAAAGCAGTATCTAAACATAGTTGCTGAACTGATTTTGCTTAGCTCTAGTTAGCTTCCACTAGCAACACAATACAACAATATAAGGAGGTGGTGAATAATAATAAGTAAGACAATATTGTTAGGAAGGAACTGATCTTCTACTGGAGATGTTTCTTTAAACTTAGTGAAAAAAAAAAAAAAAAAAAAAAAAGGTTTCTGTTTTACCCAGGAAAACCAGCCAACCACACCTCCATCCCTGGAAAGGTGATGGAACGGCTCATTCTGGATGTTATCTCTAAGCATCTGGAGGAAAGGAAGGTTATCAGGAGTAGTCAACAAGGATTCACCAAGGGGAAATCATGCTTGACCAATCTGATAGCCTTATGTGGTGGCATGACTGGCTGGCTGGATGAGGGGAGAGCAATGGATGTTGTGTGCCTCGACTTCAGCAAGGCTTTTGACACTGTCTCCCATTACATCCTCATAAGTAAGCTTGGGAAGTGTGGGTTAGATGAGTGGACAGTGCATTGAGAACTGGCTGAATGAGTACAGCTATGAGTACGGCTGTGTGAGCAGGTAGATGATCTGCTCAGCCGAGCGGCACAGCTACAAGATGAGGTTGAAAGGCTGCAAGATGAAGTAGAAAAGCTTCGGAGTACTAGGGAGGCTGGTGGAACCAGAGTCTGCCCTCCCTCCACAGAAATGGGAGCACCTGCCAGATAGCACCCAGGATCAAGGGGCCCCTGTATCCTACCCCTGTCAGGTGGAAGACAGAAGCCTAAATGAAAAGGGTGAGTGGAGGCAAGTTCATGGCCATGGCAGAGCATTTTTTGCAAACTGTGGACCAGTAAGTCTGATAATCTGTAGGCATATTTATATACCTTTGGTCAGCACAAGTATCTATGGAAGTAATACCTCAAAAATACAGTAGGATACTTTCATGTCTCTGAGAGGCATAAACTGAATTGTGGAAGTCACTGCTATAGAAACCTGGGATACTAAAAATAGGAATGGGTTCAGGGAACATTTAGACACACTCATGTTAGAGGAGAACCATGCATAGGCAACCTCCAGCTGTTGAAGCCTCAAAAAGTGGACTGCTGGGAGCTGGGGCAGTGCATATCATTGAAAGTATCACTTGGTATTTGGTCTTTGGTTATGGAAAGAGTATAAAAACACTTCATGGGCTACTGTTGGAAAAGAGGTATTGATTTGAGGTGAACCTTTAGTATGAACCTGTATGGACGCTTTTTGTGTGGGTGGTGGTATGTGAATAGTAGCAAGATAGTGCTTGAAGCACTGACAGATAATGAAAGTTGCTTTTGTTGTGCATCATCAAAGTTTCCAAGTTTTTGTATAATTTTATTGCGTTTCAGGCAAATACACATTTAATCTGTAACAACTTTGGTGGCTGTATTTCCATTCCAAAAGCCTGGACAAATAGCAGCTATCAAAGGTGTGTAGTTTCAGCTGTGTGACTTCAGGCTACACTCTGCTTTTGGTGGGAGGAGAATCACTGCAGATAAATGAGAGCTGCAGGTGCAGTTTCTGTTTCTACTGTTGTGCTGCCAACTTAGTCACTTTTATAGCAAGTCATGTTCTTTTGGTGTTTTCCACTTTCAAAGTGGGGAAAAATATTTCTTGCTTCTGATTGTTAAATCACTTTTCAGTCGTTACTGTTGAAAACATCTGCCTCCTCCACTCTCGGTCTTTGAGAGGCTCCTAAAAATCAAGTTTTATTCACACTGATTCCTTCCAGTAACAAAAGTTTTCCTTCCCCTAAGAAGCACTGGGGGTGGAAGATAAACTATGAATATTAGCAGGAGGGACATACTAGTAGAGCATTCTTGTTCAAAATCCTTTGTAGTTAGATATGTAAATTGCATATATTGGATGAGACAGTCAGCTCGGATGCAGAACGCAGACATTCTTATGAAATTACTTATGAACACTGGTATTTTTCTGCTAATAATTGTATATGGCTTTCGACTATTGAAAAAGAACAATGAAACAGAACCATAAAACATAATTTCAAGCTTACTTATGTTATTAGTGGTTGTAAAGGTCTGAACAATTATCTTTGCCTACAGTTACATGTAATAAACTGAATAGTGCTCCTGTTTCTGTTATAAGTTTTCTTTAATTTTAACATGGTGAGTGCTTGAGAAAAATCTGTGTGGTAGCTGGAGGACTGTTGTATTTGCACTGCAGTGTATGAGGTCTTTGAAACATAACAAGGCCATAAATTTTGCAGTTATAAATGTAATGTGTGAACCAGGAGAGAAACATAGCAGCAGTCCCCAGGTGTTTTGAAGCCACTTGAAATGATCTTAAATCAGCTCTTTTATGTAAAAACTGTCTGTTTTTTTTTTTAAGGACTTTGCTGAGATGGATGCTTGAAAGTTCTCATCTGTGTCCTTGCCTCAAAAGTATTTATAGTAATGGCAGGGGAATGATCTTACACATGCACATGTGTGCACGTATACTTTTATCCAAGTCCAAGTTCAGACACCTTTGCATGGACAGCCTTTTTTTGTTTGTTTGTTTGTGGGGGGGGGTTTTGGTTTTTGGTTTGTTTTTTTTTTTGGTGAGTTGAGCTTATTTAATTCAAGAAGCTAGTGGAATTAATGCACTGTTAAAAAAAGGCATTGGTGGTAGGACAGACATGCAGATACAGCGATACTAGCAACATTTATCTGGAAAACTTTATCAGAAGTGGACTGAGCAGCTTGCAGGATATGTTTTAGTTCCCAAATGTAACTTGGCAGCTTGCGACCTGCCAGCCTCTTTCTTTTCTTTGCCAGTGTTGTGTTGGGATGTGTGAGGGTAAGGCATGGGACACGGATCATACGATGAGAGAAGGGCTCTGATACAGAGTGTGGACATGGGGCTGCATAGAAAGCAACATGGCAAATACAGCTGCTTGCTGCACGGGGCTCACCAGCTTCTGCCGTGTGAGTCCAAGAGTAGGAGAGACTATTAACACAGCTAGAAATCTGAGGTAAGGCCCTACCAGCAGGTTGGATTCAGGCTCAGACCATGGTACTCAAATTGCATGTGGGCATGGATGCTGGAGCAGAGAGAGAAGCATAATTCAGTGGCTGTAATTTTGAAGCTGGGCTGAAAATGAGTGATGTGAATGCAGGACTGGGCCAAATGTGGGAGTGGGAAGTACAGAGTTATGGTGGTGAGAAGTTAGGAGGCCTGAAGGTTTTGATCCTGATTTGTAGAAAAGTAAGAGAATGAAAACTCATCTGGAGACTTAAAGTTGGTGCTGAAAACTTCGGCCATGTGGATGATTAGAACATGGATTTAACGAAGCAGAAGTTTGACTTTACAAGAATTTAGAAGCAAACACCATAGATTCATTTATGGGCCTAAAAGAAGGAATTCAAGCAAGTGCTCCCCTTTGAGGCAAGAGTGCTACAATGAGATGTTTTGTTTAAGATCTGAGTTAGTCTCTTGTGCGACAAGATATCTCTTTGAACATTGTTTTGACTTGCAAGTGTTTGGGCAGTGGAGGTGTTTGTGGCAGGAACTTTTTGCATCAGTTATCTCTCCACATGTATTCCATGAAAAAGCAGATAGATATTGGTAGCACTCCAGCCTGTCTCTTTAAGGTCATGTTTCTGAGAACTTTCTGTAGGACTACATAGTATGTGTGAGTCTGACGTTTATTTATGGTTTTTGTCTCTGGTAGGAGTGTTGAAAAGCTGATTATGATGCAAGTAAAAGATATACTGTGAGATATTGAGGTTGAAGATCCTTATTTCTCTCTTCTCAACCTTAAATTTTAATATTACAAGTTTGGAACCATTAGAATAATCTGTAGCCAGTAACAGGAAAAATATCTAAAATAGCTCTCTGTGTTATTCCTTGTTACCATTCATTTACTTTCTCGTGCCTCCATTGACAGTGGTCACTGGTATATCTGCTTTTGTTCGTAACTCCTTGGAGCAGAGATTTTCTGCCTTTATTTGCCTGGGAAGCAGCCTGTGCCCTGCTGACACTATTGCTTTAGTACTTTTACCAGTACCAGTACATTCTATAGTAGCTTGGGATTATGTTGCGAAAGTGTTTGTTAAATAGCTTGACTTTGTCTTGTTCTGAAGATAAAAGTTCTGTTTGACTTAATCTAGAAAATAACAACCAGTTTCACCAGTGCTTTAGATCAGAAGTCTTGAACCTTACTCTGAATATCCAGGTCTATTCTTTTTCTGTGGATTACTG